TCAGAGACGGGGCATTGGGGGGAGGGATGGTCGAACAAACACGCACACACGCACAGCACCGGCAGCGAGACTAAGGGCAAAAGCACACTCAGCTGATGCCCTTGCGGCTGCAAATACTCGAACAGTGTCCCCTTGGCGTGTGGGGAAATGCCTGAAGCTGAAGGCAGCACCCCTCGACCAAAAGGGGATTAGACCCTAAACTAAACCCCTAAACTCCTAAACCCCTCAACCCCTCAACCCCTGAACTCTAAACCCTAAACCCCTAAACCCTAAACCCCCTAAAGCCCTCAACCCCTGAACCCCAAAGCTGTGGATCTGCCTTCGTGATTCGGATCTCCTTGCCGTGGATCTTGGCACCCCAGAGCTTCAGAGCTTCCTGGCAGCGGGAAGCTGTAAGATTAATGAAGATTGGGTTTTGGGGTTTAGGGCTCAGGGGTTGAAGGCTTTTAGTTTTTAGGGTTTAGGGGTTTGGGGGTTTAGGGTTCAGGGGTTGAGGGTGTGGTTTTTAGGGTTTAGGGGTTTGGGGTTTAGGAGTTTAGGGTTTTGGGGCTGCGGGTTCGGGGTTTAGGGCTGAGGGTTTAGGGGTCTAGGGGCTTAGGGTTTAGGGGTTTCGGGTTTAGGGTTCAGGGGTGGAGGGTTTCGCTTTGGGGGTTTAGGGGCTTGGGGGTTTACGGTTTAGGGGTCTAGGGGCTTAGGGTTTAGGGTTTTAGGGTTTAGGGCTTAGGGTCGTGAGTTTTAGGCTTTGGATGTAACGAAGATAGACGAGACATGCTTGTTGGTATGTGGCCTAAGGGCTTCAGGTTCTGGGGCTCTGCGGCTTCAAACTTTATTGCCTTTAGGTTCTTGGGCTTTAAGGTAAGTTTGGGGCTTTTAGGGTCTTGGGGCTTAAGGTAAGTTTGGGACTTTTAGGGTCTTGGGGTTTAAGGTAAGTTTGGGGGTTTCTGGGTAATGTAGGGGCCTAGACAATTAGAATAGGGTGTTGGGACCACTTATACTAGTAATTATAGCAAGGAACCACCGAAATGTATAGGTAATTTTGAGGCCGCTGTACTATACGCCTTCATCCATCCCTGCAAGTATCATAGTCATTCGTCAGCATGGCGGGTTGATCGAACTTACCTCGTTTGCCCTTTGGGGGGCCCTTACGGTGTTGCTGTGGCTCTTCGTGCATGCAGGGAGGCGTGATCAGGGCTCTGTACTTGCAAGGCTCGCATGGCGCTCAGGGTACCGGCCTGCTTCAGAAACCTCAACCCAGACCTGTCAAATCCCAGATGCAGAGGTTTAGGGTTTAGGGTTTATATATAGGGCTTAGGGTTTATATAGGGTTTAGGGTTTAGGGTTTATATAAGGTTTAGGGTTTTGGGTTTAGGGTTTATATAGGGTTTAGGGTTTAGGGTTGACTCCTATAACCATAAGAGTATAGAACCCTTTCAGGAACACCTTCAGAAACCCTTCAAGAAGTTCCAACACCATCATGGCAACTCATCCCTATGGACTCCTACATCCTTGCGAAACCCTGTTGGAAACCCAAAAACCCTAAACCCTAAAAGCCCCAAAACCCAAAACCCTAAACCCTAAACCCTAAAGCCCTAAACCCTAAACCCAAAACCCTAAACCCCAAAGCCTAAAACCCTAAACCCTAAAAACCCCAGCCCTAAACCCTAAAACCCTAAAACCCTGAACCCTGAAAGGAAACCCCAAAAGCCACCAGCCGCGGCCTTGACGCTCCAGCGCTCCTGGAAGCGCGCGAAGGCGAAGCCCTGACACTCCTCCGAGAGTTCCGCGGTTTAGGGTTTAGGGTTTAGGGTTTAGGGTTTAGGGTTTGGGGTTTAGGGTTTAGGGTTTTAGGGTTTAGGGCTTAGGGTTAATTAGGGTTTAAGGTTTAGGGTTTAGGGGAACCCCTAAACCCCTGCGTAAACCCTTAAACTAGAGCCCTAAACCCCTTGAGACCCCTAAACCCTAAATCCCTAGACCCTTAAACCCCTAAATATCCTAAACCCCTAAACCCCTAACCCTCAACACCTGAACCCTAAACCCCTAAAGCTCCAATCCCTGAACCCCAAACCCTGAATGGAAAAGGGAGCTCAAGGATTTAGGGCTTTGACGGTGCAGGGCTGAAAGGCTTTATGGATTTTACAACTTAACAAACCTGAAGCAGCCAAACCGAGCTCCGAAGAGACCCTAAACCCTACACCCTAAACCCTAGAAAAACATACAAAACAGCACGAGCATTGTTGGAGCCCAAAAGGATGTCAGAGCCCTAGATGGGTTTGGGGTCGAGGGTTTAGGGCTTAGGGTTTAGATACTAAGCCGCAGAAGCCCGTTGACGCGTCAAAGACTCCCCAGAAAAGCCTGAGTGATCTTGTTCCTGACAATTCGGACCTGGTGTCGAGCGTTTTGGGCTTTAGGGTTTAGGGATTTGGTCTCAGGTTTATAGGTGTAGGGGTTTGAAGTAGTTATTGGCTTTCGCTATGGATGCCACTACTTCTGCACTTTGCTACGTCAATGGCATTGTGACATGCTGTGTTATGGTATTCCGGTTTACGGACGAACCCTCGGGGTCCATGTACTCACATAGTATATACATTGGCCCCAAAGCACCGACCAAATTTATCCACTATTTGGGTACATGGACCCTTAGACTAACGGATTAATACTGTTGATGATATAAATCCTGCATTACCTTAAGGACCCTAATCTATGGGAATTATGGTGTATTCCTTATTATGGGTTTAGGGTTTAGGGTTTACCCTAAACCCTAAACCCTAAACCCTAAACCCTCATCTATGGGAATTATGGTGCATTCCTTATTATTGGCCAAGAAGATTTTATATCATCAGCCGTAGCACGGGAGACTGGTTGTCTCTCAAGGCTCTAGCAGGCGGCATCAGGGCTTTCTCGTCGTAACACTGCAGCAGTCTCACAAGTGGTATTAATAGAGATTCGGGACTACCCTGAACCCTAAACCCCAAGCCCTAAACCGTTTGGGCCTTAGGTTGTGGGGATTGCGGGGTTTAGGCTTTGAGATCTCTGGGCTTAGGCATGCTTGTAGGTCTTGCGGTTCTACCGGTTGGTTTGGGGTTTAGGGTTTAGGGTCTGGAGGTTTTGGGTTTAGGGAGTTTTCGGCAAGTCCTAAGCCCTAAACCCTCAGTCGTACTTGCAGAGGTGAGGGTCCCATGCTTGACGATGTCGTCCGGAAGCCCGAGATCGTATCCCTGCACCCTAATACCCTAAACATGGCCCTGTAGACTCTCTGTAGGGCTTGGGTCTGCAGGCCTCAACCGCGGAACGGTACCAGGGGCCGGGCTGCGTCCACCACCCCGGCATCAGACAGCACCCAGCGGATGTCGTCTTCCGTCACACCTCAGCTTGCAGGATTGTCTAGGAATCGACAAATCTACATGTAGGTCCAACACCCAAACCTTAAACTTAAACCCTCAAAGCCTGAACCGTAGAACCCCGAAACTCTGACAAAAACGCAAAACCCTACAAAGAAAAAAAAAACATAAACCCCTGTAGCACCTCACAGAAGCCCTACAAGACGTCATGAAACACTTTGAACCCTGTGATGTGGGGGTCGGAATAATTCGTAATGATATCCTCGTATCGTCACCATATAATCTAACTATTCAGGCCAGATATTGTGGTCCTTCACTCAGACGGGTCGCGTCTTGGCAGGCTCCCGAGGAAGACGCTGCGCTTCCTAGCAAATTCTGGTCGAAATGGTTCGGATTTCGGGGTTAGGGTCTCGGGCTTGGGTTTAGGGTTTAGGGTTTAGGGTTTAGGGTTTAGGGTTTAGGGTTTAGGGTCTAGGGTTTAGGGTTTAGGGTTTAGGGTTTAGGGTTTAGGCATTATAGGGCTTAGGGTTTAGGGTCCAGGGTTTAGGGTTTAGGGTTTAGCTTTTTTTAAGTGTAGTGGCCTTTTCTGTGAGCAAGCCTGCCTCTGGTGAGGCTGACACTGTCTGACAAAACCTAAGCACCCTCACTGCTTGTAGGCGGATGTCTCCTTTCACACTCCCTCACTCTGCGCCCTTGTCATCCGCTGCTGGAGAGGGAGGCCGATTGTCACGAATCCGAGCCTCCTGAGCCTCCTCAGCACTAGTGTGCCAATCGTCCATCTTCACAGAAATCAGGGTTTAAGGTTTAGGGATAGCAGTCCGTGGCGGGTGACATCTATATTAATGAATCCAGGACGGTCAAATCCCTTCGATGCGGTTCACGGGGTGCAAACGAAAGACCGGCTACAAACCATCATGTTCGTCATCACCATTGATATCATCACCGTCGCCATAACAATCACCGTCATCATCATCCGCATCACCATCATCACCATCATCATCATCACCATCATCACCATCATCACCACCATCCTCATCTCGCCGCCATGGGCATCAGCAACATTCACAATAACGTCCTCGTTAACACTCCCAGGAGATAGTACTGGAGAAGAGAAATAATCAACGGAAGCTGCATTTTCCGTGATAGCTGGGAAGCAGTGGCCAACATCACTGAACCTGAAGTCATCGCCATGAACAAGAAATCAGCACCACCCTAAACCCTAAATCCTAAACCCTCAACCCTCAAACCCTAAACCCTAAACCCTAAACCCCCAAGCCCTAAACCCTAAACCCTAAAGCGCTATGTCATCGCAACGGTCACACCCGGGTCCTATCGAACTTCTTGAGCACGGCCGCCTCTCCGACCTCGGCCAACGTTGACAGTCGACGATGTATGTAGGGGTTCAGGGTTTAGGGTGTAGGGTTTAGGGTTTAGGATTTAGGGTTTAGGGCTTCGGGTTCAAGGTTCAGCGTTTAGGGTTTAGGGTTTAGGGTGTAAGGGCCTTTATAGTTAGGGGGTTCCTTTATAGGGTTCCTTTAAGGGGTACTATAAGGGCTACTATAAGGGTTTAGGGTGTAGGGGCCTTATTAATGAGAATAGGGTTCCTTTAAAGGATTCCTTAAAAGGGGTTCTATAAGGGCTACTATAAGGGTTTAGGGTGTAGGGGTCTTTACAGTTAGTCTGGGGTTTTGGAGTATATTATACTATTATCAGAAGGAGCCCCCAAAATAGTATAGGTAAGTATTAAGGCCCCTATAGTATGGGTCGAGAGTTCCATCCGGACTCTACGGCCATAGGGGTTCTGTTTTGGGGTTTAGGGGTCACCTGACAAGTTTAGCGTTGCATGCAATATTAACCCTAAACCCTAAACCCTAAACCCTAAACCAGGTAAGTTGCTATGACCGTTGCCAGTGGGCTGTGGCCATACTCGCAGTGCAGCTACTGAGGCGGTGTTTCGTAAGTTTAGTATGTCCAAACTTACTGGTATCACACTAGGAGTGGATTTCAACAGCCCCCGAAATTATAAATAATGCCATAGGTTCTATACTGAACCCACAAGAGGTCAAGAGCTATCCCAACTCGGTACTTAGTTACAATGCCTCTAATAAACCCTTATCCTAAACCCTAAACCCTAAAACGTAAAACTCCTAACCCTCAACCCTGAACCCTAAACCCTAAAACGTAAAACTCTTAACTCTAAACCCTGAACCCTAAATCCTAAACCCCCCTATACGACCCCCCAAAAAGCCTTCTCTGGGTACCAGGCCCCATCTGCTCTGAGGACATGCTGCGAATCGGCCTATCCGCACCACGGGACAAAACCCCTTGAAAGGCCGAGAAATACTGTAGGCCCCTATATTAAGAAATCCTGGCCCTATAACCCTAATATTTTAGGGTTCATACTAATGAAGGCCCTGGGTTTGTTAATCAGGTTCGCATATTATACAGAACCATATTATGATATTATGCGGGTTTAAACCTTCTGCCTTCGGAAATGTAGGGCAGGGCTTTAGCGTTATTGTGTTTTAGGGTGACCGCGAAGCCACAAAACGCTAGGCTTTGGAAAACAAGTGTAACAAGGTTGAAGATGAAGCAGGACGTGGGATGACACTACGGTTTAGGGTTTAGGGTTTAGGGTTTAGGGTTTAGGGTTTAGGGTTTAGGACACCTCTAACCCCGTGAGAACGAATTGAACGAATACAGCCTTCCATGTCGATTGCTGTTAATTTTTGTGATCTGCCCCTCGTGCTGCCGATGAGCGTTTTCTAAAGCACTCTACAAAGCCAAGCGTGCACCCACCCTGGGCCCTAAACCCTGCAAAACACCCAAAACCTAAACCTTGAACCCATACCCGAAACCCTGAACCCTGTACCGAAGAGGCGAACTGAACTGAATTGCCAGCCCCAAAGGCTTTATGACTTCATGGATCGAAGGGTTATGCTTCAGGGCTTAGGGAATTATGTTTACGGTTTTAGGGCTCACAAATTGGGGTATGGCCTGGTATGAAGTATACAGGATTTGTCCAGGGCTTTAGCAAACGGGGATAATGCACGCACTAGTTCAAAGTATGCAGGGCCCTATGGTAACCTGATCCCCATAGACCTTGAGGTTGTTCACCAGCTTCACCACTGTAGGTACCTGAGCAGGATCGGGAACCCAAATTTGAGGTCTCGAAGGCTTTGACCGTAAGCTCCCTAAACCCTAAACCCTAAACCCGCTGGACCAAAACGGCTTGGCTGTGGCTCGGTCTTAAACCAGCGACATCTGGGCAGTTCTCCACATTAGGGCCCCTTTTCAGGTTCTTTTTACAAGGGTGCCGCACTATTTGGGAGACCTAAAACGAGGAGCCTAGTTTAGAGAACTACCCATCTATCTGGCAGGACAGAAGATCGAAGCTAAAGGACCCAAAGCCAGTGCTGCAGGGGTCCTCTCGCTTTCGAGACAGAGGCCCGAAATTGCGGGCTTCACGATTAGGCTGCACATGAAAACTGCCAACCCCTTGTTCAAGTATCGCGGAACGACGAATAGTTTACGGACCCTGGACTTCGCCATTAGGGGGCTGAATGACTAGCCATAGTACCACCTTACACTGTACTACACCACAATGAAAAAGCCCTATTCTAAGTTTCAAGACACCTATTTCAGGCCCTATACTAAAGCCTACCCTAAACCCCTGAACCCTAAACCCTAAACCCTAAAGTCCCCGACAGGAACAAACCTTCCCAAATGCGATCCGGGCACATCCTCCGGGCCTGGCAAGCAAAACTGACGGGCTTATGGGGTTTAGGGTTTAGGGGTTTAGAGTATAGGGTTTAGGGGTTTAGGGTTTAGGGGTTTAGGGTTTAGGGGTTTAGGGTTTAGGGTTTAGGAGTTTAGGGTTAAGGGGTTTTGGGGTTTTGGGCTTAGGGTTTAGGGTTCTGTACCGCATCTGCGTGGGCTCTATATTCTGTTCATCAGGGTTCTAGGGAGCTGAGGGCTATGATAGGCAGAAGGGCTTAAAAGGTTTCAAAGCTGTTTATGGAGCGCCGAAACCCTAAACCCTAAACCCTATAGTAGGGTTTAGAATATTAGGGCTACATACGACTTGGCGTTATGATGCGGGTACGGGTTACCTCGGATTATCACTACCCATGAACCTTCAAGTAAGGCTTATATTTTTGGGCCTTTAGGATTTAGATGGGTTTAAGCTTTGGGGTTTAGGTTTTAGGGCAGGGTTGCCCGATGCCCTGCGGCCGCGCTCATCCCAACCTGGTGGCAAGCCGGAGTTCCAAACGTAATAACTTAAAGAATGGACCCTTCCTAGACCCCCAATCCAATATAGGGGCCTTAAAACTTAGAATAGGGTTTTGGGGCCCATTCTACTAGAATTATAATAATTTAATATGGAACCCCCAAAAGAGTATGGTAATTATTTAGGCCCCTATGGTGCCCTCTATTAGGGAGTTTCCGAAGATTAGGGGTACCTTATTTGGGGGTCCTTATAATAAGGATCCTACTATTCAGGGTACTATATTAGGGTCCCCTATTTTCGGAAACCCCATTACCCTGGGGAGGTCTTGGCTCAACATCCCGCAACCGACGGAAGGAGTCGCAACCCCTAAACCCTAAACCCTACACCCTAAACCCTAAACCCTAAACCCTAAACCCTACACCCTAAACCCTAAACCCTAAACCCTAAACGGCCGCCTCGCAGCACTACGTAGGCATTCTTGGCTCCGGCTCCCTCCTGGTAGGCCTGCTTGATGCGCCCGGCCTGGCAGGGAGCTTTGGGGATTAGGGTTTAGGGTTTAGGGTTTAGGGTTTAGGGTTTAGGGTTTAAGGTTTAGGGTTTAGGGTTTAGGGTTTAGGGTTTAGGTCGGGTAGTGATTAGAATTGAACAGAGTCTTGCGGCAAGTTATTATGTTACAACTATGATGACAAGGAAGCCTCAGGAGTAATACTGGTATCAATCATTAGGGCTTCTAGGATATTTGTTTTGAAGCGTGCTGTCCCCCCGTCTCCCACAGGGACGACAGACACTGCTTTTGCCTGGGCTCACACAATGAAACACCGACCTGTACGACATGTAGCGATCCAGAGGAACTCACCCGCGATTTCGCTCATGGAGATATTCAGACAGTTAGCCTGGTCCTCCACCACATTTCGTCCTGAGCCCCTCACTTCCCTGACTGCAGTAGCACAGCTTCCAACTTGTTGTCAACAGTCTTCTTCTTTTTCGGAATTAGGCTTGAGGTTGTAGAGCTTGGGGCCTTCGGGTGGGTTAAGGGTGCAGAGTTTAATAGGGATTAGTGCAGGAAGCAATGACTAAGCCAGCACATGACACCCGGATTCGACTACAGGAGACATTGTTTCGACTATGATGATGCTGCTTCCCTGAAACTTGAGGCTGCGAACCCTCGTGGGGGTCTGAACAAAGGTTTGGCCCTCTTCTGGGCTCCTTTTAGGGGGGCTCCTTTGCAGGGGCGGGCCTCTATCATGGTTTAGTACAGTGGGCTTCATACAGCGGTCGTACTACTGTAAGTGTAAAGAGGCCTTAACGGTGAGACTAAGCTTCCTTTGAAGGGTCCCTTCTTGGCTCAGGAATCTGCGCGAAATGTTGGAAACAACTGCGGCTACCCAAATCCTGAACCCCTGAAAGACCCTAATCCCTAAACCCCAGCTTTCGGGTTTAGGGAGTTTAGGGTTCAGGGTTCCTATAACCGTTGCTCTAAGGGTTCAGGGTTTAGGGTTTAGGGTTTACTTGGAGGTTCATGGGTAGTTATAAGTGGGGTTATAAGTAGGATAACTATAGTTATAACCCATATTAGGGGACTTATAAACCCACTTATAACTACCCATGAACCTCCAAGTAGGGTTACTATGAGGATTCCTAAACCCTAAACCCTAAACCCTAAACCCTAAACCCATTCCTAAAAGGGGCTTTAGGGTTCTGGGTCGGCTCCCTGGCCTTTCGCAGCTCGTTGGAGGTGTTCCACCGACTTTCCAGCGGCAGCGACCGAAACCAAATAGGCCTTGAGGTGGTACTGGGTTTAGGGTTTAGGGTTTAGGGTTTAAGCGGTTTAGGGTTGGAAGGTTACTGTAAGGTTACTAGAAGCTTTGTATAAGGTTACTGGAAAAAGGTCGCGGAAATACCAAGAAACAGCCGGAGCAACCGCGATAAAGGCATTATGGACGATGGCGAGGATACAAGAAGTAACAGGAATGAGCATCGCGTAACTTGTATTGGAACCCTTGAGAATGCCAGGATCGACTCAATATCTAAACCCTAAACCCTAAACCCTAAACCCTAAACCCTAAACCCTAAACCCTAAACCCTAAGGTTGAAACCATGGGCCGCTAGTATGGGCCCTTAACCCTGGGATCCTGATACACCCACTATATACCCTATATGTAGCCGTAAGGGTCTCGAGAAAGGCCTAAGGGTCCATATTAGGGGCCCATGCTTCTAACCTTAGACAATAAAAGCTCACAGCCTGCGAATTAGGGCTTCGGGCTTAGGGCTTGGGGCTAATGAGTGGGCAGCAAGGATCAAACCTCTGATGAATCCGGAACCCGAAACCCTCTACCGTAGCTGCAAACCTAGAGCCTAAACCCTAAACCCGAAACCCAAACCCCAAGGCCCCACATGTAAGTCGCTGACTTGAGTTGGCCCTCATAGGTCGTGCCTCAGTCAGCAAATCAGGCTGAGCAATAGCTTTTGGGTCGTTTGGGGTTTGGGGATTCTGGGGTTTGGGGTTTAAGGTTTAGGGGGTTGAGTGTTTGGGTTTTCAGGTATGGGGGAGGGGGGGGGGGTGAACCATACTTTCAAGCCTCCTGTTCGCAAAACTGCTGGAGATCTTGTCGATGACGCTTGACTGATATCAATGCATCTCCTGCCACTTGTCGTCTCACTAAAGCAAGAACCGCCACCGTCGTCGCAGTCGCCCCTGCGGTCGTGGCACTAGGAGTTTCAACAACAAGTGACAAGTTCTGAACATACAACAATGTCATGATCGCAGGAGTACCACCACTACCGCCCATAAATGTTCCTGCTGTTACAGACCCTTCCCGTCTTCCCCAACATTATGGCAATTTTCCGGTCTGCGGGGTCACCATAATCGTAATGGATTTTGCTGGCTCTACGCTTAATGATCATATTGGTGACTTCTACTGCCAGTGTTTTCGAGTTTTGCCCGGTGCGGGTCGAAGACGTCAATGGGGTTTGATTTCACAAAGAGTTTGAGTTGGGTAGCGATTGTTTTGTCACATTTCGGTTTTGTTCAGGTTCGTCAGAGATCTTCTGCTTTGGAAAGCAGGCTTGATGCTTCAGCAGAAGGTGTCTTGTCTGGTCTTAGTAATTAGTGACTACCTGCATGTTGCATCGCTTTGTACAGTGAGCCTTTCCTCCTGGTTTCCACCAAAGGTACTTCTCGCCCCTGCAAACCCAACAGCGTCTTAAATAATCGGTCCGTTTTTGCTACCTCTACCCTAAACCCTAAACCTTAAACCCTAAACCCATGACCCTTAACCCTAAACCCTCTAAACCCTAAACCCTAAACGCTAGAATGTAAACCCTAAACCCTAAACCGTCATATCATCGCCATTAAAACGAGCAGTCAGACAAGATCTCGGAACGGATTGCACCCACTATTCCGTTTAGCTCTGCGGATTCTCCTGCATTACCACCACCATACGTAAGGGTTTAAGGTTTAGGGTGTAGGGCTTAGGGTTTACATTCTAGCGTCCAGGGTTTAGGGTGTAGGGTTTAGGGTTTGGGGCCATCAGCACCAACACCACCATTATCGCGATCATAACTGCTGGCGCTGGAAACTGGAACCGTTGCTGTCACTATGACTGCAGTTTCCATTTTAAGAGGCCTTGGGGCCCATGGCGAAAAATGCCACGGCTGTCCAACTTGGACCCGAAATTTCAGTCCCTGTAGCTGCTCAACACACATCTGCACAAACCCTCAAAGCAGCCGCATGCACTAATTTTTGAAACCTGGATGCAGAAAATAAAACCGTAAACCCTAAACCCTAAACCCCAAACTAAACCCTAAACCCTACCAAAAGTCCCAAGCCGAATGCCTCCGAAGCATGAGCAAGCCCAATCACCGACTTGAGCTGCGAGGGTTGAGAGCTATGGCCTAGAGCCCTTAGACTTTCTTGTAGAAACCTTGCAGAACTTGCACAAAATCCTCAAGCAATCCTCAGCCCCATACCATAAACCCTTACAGCCCAAGAGTCTTAACACCCTCAAACATATGTGAAAAATCCCACAGCACCAGAATCACCATCGTTCCCTTCCAGCCCTATCTGAATCCCAAACCTGCAAATCTAAACCCTCAACCCCAAACCCTGATCCCTAGACCTCTAGCCCGTTATAGGAACCATTCGAACAACCCCTAAAAAAACCTTAAACCCTAAACCCGAAACCCTAAACCCTAAAACCTAAACCCTAGCCCCTAAACCCTAAACCCCTAAACCCTAAACCCTAAACCCCTAAACCCTAAACCCTAGCCCCTAAACCCTAAACCCCCTAANNAAACCCTAAACCCTGAACACCAAACTCCCAGAGCTTCGAACCGCAAGCCGCTCGAAGCAGCCGACGCAGGCGCTTCCTTGGCCGCGGAGGGCTCTCCTCTTTAGAAGGTCTTCACATGATCTTACGGTTTAGGGTTTAGGGTTTACAGTTTAGGGTTTAGGGTTTAGGCGTCTTGGTGCTATTTTGGGGGTGGGGGGGGGGGGGGGGGTT